CTATGGTATATTGCCACGCAATCGAATCAAGTAATATCAGCGAGATTTCTGCGGCTTGAATTACATTCGACGCGACTGAAATGCGACGTAAAAATGGGCCCTAAGGTGTAGATAAAGAGTGGCTACGCGTCTACACTGTGCAATTAATTGATATAAAACTCTCCGAGGGCTACACCAGGTAGATATACCGAACACTGCTATAGTTGCGGGATATTTTACAATTCAACCTTTTGATCTTTAACTTGACCTCAATAGAACCTCAAGGCAAGAAAGAGACATGGACCGAAAAATCCCCCCCCCCCTCCCCAGTTTCCTCGCCTTTATTTTGTGCCTATTTGGATAAACGTGTCACAGGAACAAGAAATTGGGAATAAAAGTATCCTGATTTAAAATTTTATTTAACTGAATGCCATTATGCATTCGTGAATTAGTTTAAACTGATACCAAGAAAGGGTATATAATAAAATGATGCCATGCAGCGAAGTTGTCGTTAAAAACACAAAAACATGATTAAAAAAACGTGCATTTTCCATTCGTTTTATGTGGTTTCTTTAAGTTTTCGTTACATAATGAAGTCAAGTTTTATCACACTGACGTGCAACTCAATCATAAGGAACAAGCTCGATATCAAAATTAGGGAATTTAAGCAAACTTCGACACGGAGACGACAGTAAGTGAAGAGCGATGTTTTTATCTAACACGTTTTTCTCCACATTACAACATAATTAATCGGAAAAATAATGCCCAAGGAATATTTAAACACGCTGATATAAATTTGAATCGATTTGAAATTAATAAAAGCAGAGAGGGTCCCCCTCACAGAACTAAAGGGTCAATAACCTAGAATAACCATGGTTACCCAAGGCTAAAAATGGGACCCCACCAATGTCTGAAATATAGGGTATTGAATTTTGGGAATTTTGGTACTACAGATCTCAGATCTCCCTCAACCCACCCTGCACGTCCTTGAATTGTGTATCAAGATTATTAGAAATCTAAACAATTCCTAGAAGTCAGACAGTATATCAAATCTGTCGTGATTGATCAATATGATCACACGGTCTGATAAATATATCTGACCACAAGACTTCATTTGGAGGCGTTTTCAGCTCCAAATACTTCTTGTCGGTTTTCTACCTATCCTGGATATCAAAACCTTTTTTTTTTTTTTTTTTTTAATTTTTTTTTTTTAAACCTTACTGAACAACCTCCATGTCATGAAGAAGTATCCTGTTCTGTGTGCATCAAAACAACTGCCATGTTTACACAGGTTTTTGTCTACACTGCTTGAATGGGATTCATCGAACAAGTGGAAGCCATGATATCATAACATGTCCTGAATGCCGAAGAGAGAGTAGAGTCCCTAGAAGTGGAATGCCCACTAACTTATCAACAGTTTGCTAGATATGTTGGCCATTAAATTGTGCAATACTACTGGAGTGAAATGTGAAAATTGCGACAAGAAAAGCTCACAGAGAGTGCGTCACTGGACATAATATAATTCGACTGAGCTAATAAAGAACACCGTGTGCTAGCGAATTCACTTTCAGAGCGAACATTGAGTCAATAAATGTGGTTGTACCTTTTGAGAACGTGGATGAATCTCTGGTATGTGACCATTCAAATGAAAGCTATTGAGCAGTACTTTCATGTGGTACTGTTTGTTTTTGACAATTTTGCAAATTGAAATTCAAGATTTTTTACTCGGTTTTGATGTTAGCACTCTTGGGAGTGAAAGGGTTAATTAAACGTTTTTATTTTTGAGACCTTCAGTCCATGCAAAGATGTCCTTGCTACGGAGGATTATTATTTGATATTGGCCTGCGTGTATGAGCTCATATGTAGCGTGGTGTGTTATAACATCCGTCCAGTTTACCGACGGAATCATTAGGCTTTGATACCCTTATCGAGAAACACACCGGCGACTAATCTTTAGTACCAACTTACTGATAGGGACGCCGAGTTCGGGTTCATCGTGTGTACGGTCGAAAAAACAGCGAGACGCGAGGGTAACCAATGTTGCTTTCGAGCGCAGGACTGATCATTCTGTCAGAAAGAGCGATGTACACGTTTACATCATATCCGGCTTTGTCAACGAGCGAGCCAGTACAAGGAAACAGCAAATAGCAAACTATTCTCGTGTCAAGTTTCTTTTTGGCCAGTCGAAGGCAAAATCTCGCTAACGAGATCTGGGAACGAAATTAATAGGAAGCATTTCAAGTGTTCAACATTCTATAGATTTATAGAAACACGAGGTCTAGTGTAGCTGAGTTTGGGAAAACGTGGCCTGAACACACTTTATATACATAGTTGTTTCCATAATTGTGACGTTTCTATTTTAGAAAAAAAAAAGCTATTAGAAAAACGATTCCTTAATCGGTGTATTAAAATTTCTCAATTGAAACTAGTCAATCACAATGCAGATTTTATCAGATTTTTTTCTCAGCCGGCTTATCAACGAGAAAGACTTGAATCACGCGCCGACTATTCTCCTTTTATAAGTGCTTGTCGCCGGTTACATGCTTTCCCGCGCTTGTCGCTGGTTACATGTTTTCCCTCGCGTGTCGCCAGCTACGTGTTCTCCCGCGCTTGTCGGCGGTTACATGTTTTCCCGCGATTGTCCGCCGGTTACATGTTTTCCCACGCCTGTCGCCGGTTACATGTTTTCCCGCGCTTGTCGCCGATTACATGTTTTTCCCGCGCTTGTCGCAAACGTAGCAAGGAGACTCAACAATAATTAAATACCACACTGATAAAAATCCCGTTTAAAGGGGCACCCAACGGACTGGCCACGCCCTCCTCGGTAATTGGTGGGTGTGTTTGGGTGTAAACTTGGGTGTATGTTTGCTGGCTGGGAGATTTTGACAGACACCTTTTCTAGGATACAGAAGGTCAAACGTGTTTCTTCTAGGAGTGGCGAAACATATAAATTTGCCAGCAATCTGCATGATAGAATCAAATAGATACACTTACCATTAAGACAGTTGTGATGCTCCTTGATAACCTTTTTTCTCCTCCATTCCCAGGTGGCTTAGCGGTAGGAGTTCCCGGTGAGCTTGCGAGGCTTGGAGGCTGCATGGAAGAAATACGGAAAGTTACCGTGGAAAGAACTATTCAAACCAGCCATTCCACAAACAGTAGACATCGCGATAAAGATCTGGAAAGATCTCCTTATGAAGGATAAGACGTTTAGGTGAGATGAATGGCTTTAACTTGTTCAGAAGAGAAGAATAACGAGTGAATTGATTGCTTGATCATCAGTATTTTTGCCCGAGCTGTAACACGCTTTCTGATTGAGGGGACAGGAACAGATAATTAAGTATCCCATCCCCCTATTTTAAACTCATTTTCACCCTTTCTCGCCTTTTTTTTTTTTAGCCGTACCTCCCTCCTCCCTACTTTTTCCCACCGTTCTTCCTCCTCCCTTTACGTCATTTCTCCCTCCTTCCTTATTTTTTTGGCCGTTTCTCCTCCTCCTCTAAACCGTACCTCTTCCCTCCAGTATTTCCTTATTATGCGCCATCTGATTGGTTGATCAGCCAGTAACGTGTACTGTTATTGGCTGATCGGTCAGCCACACCACGCGATTAAAAACGTGGAATTGTTCAGAAGGATTTCGACGGTGTGGGGGTCTAGGTGTGCATGAGATCAGGAATAAAAATTACCTGGTACAATATATATATTCAGAAACACAAACCAAAACAGTTCAAGTACAAGCTGTTTGATTAAGCTTCATTCAGTCTATTTTTCCTTTCTCTCATAACACACGCAGACGAGTTTTTACCCGAAACGGAAAACTTTTGACCAAAGGAGACCTTCTGAAAAGACCGCAGTTGGCCAAAACACTGCAACTTATTGCACGGGCGGGAAGTGCGGAACCATTTTACAACGGACCAATGAGCAAAGCTCTCGTCAAAGAAGTCCGTGCGGCTGGAGGTATGCTGACCTTGATGGACCTTAAGAACTACAATTTAGTCAAGTTTCGTCCAGCGTTAAAAGCAAGTTAGATGACATGACGCTGTTGAGCACTCCTCCACCTACCGCTGGACCAGTGCTGGCTCTTACTTTAAATATCTTGGACGGTAAGAGGGCATTTTGAATTAAATAGTCGGGGAAATAAGTACCAGTTGATGGCGGGATCCCGCCTCCGAGACGGAGTTCGCCCCCGTAGTTGCTAAGCAACATGTGTATTTGCTGGCGTGATTGCTTTCGGAGTACTCGTGAGTGTTCGTGCTAGCTTCTGATTGGATAACAAGATTCAGAAACTCTTCCAGTGCTTTCACGATGATTTTTCCAAAACTGATACTTGTCCCCTCGACTGTAAACATTGCTGCTGCAAGTAGTTCATTAAAGGAGCTATATCACCATACCATGTTAAGTCATTTTTCACTAAGTTAAAAATTACCTTCAAATCGAAAATTCCTTCAAAATAACACTTTAATAAGGTAGAAAAAAAACTTAAGATGTCATAATAAACCAAACAGGAACAAGGATGGTTAAGATTTGGAAGGATTGTGATGGATTGCGAACGGCGAACTCGAAAAATTAGATGCGCCATCCGTCACGCTCCTTTAACATGTACCAAGAGAGCATGAAGCAAAGAGAGAATCTCTGTGAAATTCAGAGAGTTCCTGTCGGTTTATTTTTAGATCCCCACAGGAGCCCATCGTGATCACCATTACTCTCCATTAGCACTGGAATCTGGAAACAATGATCGTTTCCAGACTCCAGTGCTCCGCAACCACGAGATGTCTGTGTTCAACTGTATCTACTTACTGGATTGTAGGAGGCCAGGCTGCATGGCCGAGTGGCAACCTCTCGTCCCCAGGGCCATCTCCGCTTTCAAGATGGCGGGTGGGCGCGAAGAAGACCCTGGCGAAGAGCAGGTCACGTGTCTCCAAAATATTGCGATTGGCTAATTTTGTGGTCATGTGACCTGCTCTTCGCCAGGGTCTACTTCGCTCCCACCCGCCATCATGAAAGCGGAGAAGACTCTGAGGACGAGGTTGGGCCGAGTGGTTTAGAGCGCTGGTTTTGTAATCCGGAGTTCCCGGGTTCAAACCCTGCATCTTGTCACTAGCTGCATGGATTTGTTCTCGGTAGTCTCGAGTTCAACTTCTCGGCCACGCCATTTAAATAACTAACTATTCACAAACCATCAAAATGTGCCCTTTATTTTTTCTCTATTCACAAATCATCAAAAGGTGCCCTTTATTATTTTTGCTTTTGTTCATGTTGACTTCAGTTTATAACTTATCTGATTTCTCCCCAGTAAGGCCACATGTTTGGACTATACATTTCTTTAAGCATTCGCTATTTTTTCTCAGATTCAAAACTCGTCAGTCACTCCGGGTTCCTTTAGATCGAGGAGCATTTTCAACACGTTTGTATTTGTATAAATCAGCAATAATTGTTCAATATTTATAGGGAAAACAACAATTCGGGAAATTGACCTCGTGATTCATTCGTACACTGATTCGTAGGGTATTCCGCCTTCGTAAATGTGAATGTTACACCTGAACATTGAACAGAACTGACACAGTTGTGTCCAAAAACGAAGCAGGGCCTGTTAGTGTAGCACTTATGCAGTACGTAGTGTTTTTGTCTAAAATGATTTTCGTGTCAAACAACACTTTAAACCATAATAGCTACCTTTCACGCACTGCAATAGCTCTGAGGAAAATTGTCCAGTTTTAGACACCAAAACTGATTTACTCTCTGTGTTGGTTACTTGCAAGTCTCGTACCGAGTAAGTATTATTCTCACGAGCAAAGAAGCACACTCCGTGTAACATAATGTCCTTGTTCACAGATACATTGATGGCATCCAGTCTATCGCCATAATGCCAACCAGTGAAACCACTAGTACATCCAAGTCTCCAACACCGTTGAATATCACCGACAAATCCAGATCTTTTGGTTTCTGGAAATCCCGCTGGAGCTGACATCGAGACTGAACTCAGATATTTGACAATGTTGACGATTTCTTCTTTTGTTAAAATGTCACTGTCAAAACCCACATTAGCCGCGAAATCTTCTAGTTTCATTGTTGGGAAACGTATTCCTTTGACTATTTCTTCTCCAAGAATTCTTCTTTTCACCGCACCATCGGCTGCTAAACCTTGTCTGTCACATTCCTTTGTTGCCCACAAGTCAACAGATTTAAACAGTTCTATCTCTTCATCTTCATAGTGTCTCTTACGACTACTACTTCAAGTAAGGACCTCTCAATTGTCGCAAATGCATCAGATTTTCACAGCCTGTTCTGTCTGTTCATCGATCACTTTCCAGCATCGATCCACCAAGTTTTTCTCTTCGTATTTCTGAGCAGAGGGCAGGATGCTGAATACATTTGATGGATCTAAGTTATCTTGCAGATATTTAGTGCATCTTTCAGCCAATGAAGGCACCATGTATTTCTTTGGGCCAAATACAATACTCCCATCACATTACTTCCGCTCAAGTTCACTTCATCGCTGTATATGTAACGAAACAACTCAAACAGACTCTCGTAATCACAGTCAGGCAGTTCAATGGAGTCTCTAGTCTCCGCTAGCTCGCCGTAAAACATGGCTTCAAACACAGGACTGCTAATCGACAGCACGAACTTGTGAAGCTGGAATCACTTGTTTACTTTCTCTTTCGTCATCCGTCTTACGAACAACAAACTTCACATCGCTGAAGAGATCGTTGTTGAACATAAACTTGCTTCTTTTCTCTGATGGTGGGTCTTGTTGTTTGCCAGTTTTCATCGACGACAGACATGACTTCTGCACTGTGTTCAGAACAGTTATTTATTCCGTTTGCTAGGCGATGTAGTTTCCGTGATAAAAATTGGGTGGCAACTCGAGACAACTTCATCTTCCACGCCCTCTCTGCCATCAGCAAAATGATGAATCCATCTGGCAACTGTGCGAAAAGAAGGTGCAAGGTCTCCATAAACTTTGACCAGCTCTTCATGGACGGGCCTTGCTCGGATACCTAATTTATAACGAGTGAAAATGTAGAACCGTATATGCTCCTTTGTAGGCTCCATGTCACAACCAAATAGCATCTGAATAAAAGGACCTGGCAAATTCCACGTGCCAATATGTCCGAAAACCACCAAAAATGATACAACACCAATACAAAGATCAAATAATGTAAAAGTTATAATAAAAACGTCTAAAATTGTCATTAAAAACGCCCAGCCGCCATCTTGAAAGCGGAGTAGACCCTGGGAACGAAATTGAGACTGACTGGACTGACTGGAGTTAAGCACCAACTGTATGAGCCACTTGGTTTATCTTAGCTCCAAGTCCCTTCACGCTGTAGACTGACTCGAGTTAAGCGCCGACTGTGTGAGCCACTTGGCCTGTGAGTAAGTCTTTATATTAGCTGTAGACTGACTGGAGTTAAGCGCCGACTGTATGAGCCACTTGGTTTTGTGAGTAAGTCTTTATCTTAGCGTTCTTCGGACACAACAGAATTAGAATTAAGTAACCGCATTTACAAATCAATTTGAAATCCGACGGATTGGCTGTTTTGTACATTCATTATTTTTTAGATACAGTATCCCCCGGCACGTGCTGTTACTAATGGTGTGGAATGGATTACTTAGGTGATACCCCTAATCAGAGACACAATTGAGCAGATTTGCACGTTATAATTCGTTTAATTGCTGCAATTAACAGCATCATTTCTCTTGCGTATTCTTGCAGTTTTGGAGCTAAGTTTCTCTCAAACAAGCTTGGCTTCGTCTACAACATGAGATGGACGACTTCAGCGCGCCACATGTCACGAATGAATTCGGGATCCCACCGTCACCTGTCAATTACATCAAGCCAGGGAAGAGACCGCAGTCCTCGGCCGTGCCCGCGATGGTACTGGACAAAAAAGGAAATGTGCTCATGACTATAGGCGCTGCTGGGGGTACTATAATTACAACTTCTGTTGCACAGGTAAGCTCCAGTTTACGATCATGGTTTGTTATTACCAAGAAGGTATGCTGGCCTAATGCATGGTTGCAATATTTGCAAATTGCACCATGTTTCCAATTCAATTTCAACGTATCTATGATATGCAACATTCCGTCCAACAATTTCAACGTGTTTTCCACTATCTGCAAATTGCACGCAACAATTTCAACGTGTTTTTTCACTATCTGCAACATTGCACGCAACAATTTCAACGTGTTTTTCACTATCTGCAACATTGCACGCAACAATTTTCAACGTGTTTTTCACTATCTGCAACATTGCGCGCAACAATTTCAACGTGTTTTTCACTATCTGCAACATTGCACGAAACAATTTCAATGTGTTTTTCACTATCTGCATCATTGCACGCAACAATTTCAACGTGTTTTTTCGCTATCTGCAACATTGCACGCAACAATTTCAACGTGTTTTTTCACTATCTCCAACATTGCACGCAACAATTTCAACGTGTTTTTCGCTATCTGCAACATTGCACGCAACAATTTCAACGTGTTTTTTCACTATCTGCAACATTGCACGCAGCAATTTCAACGTGTTTTTTCACTATCTGCAACATTGCACGCAGCAATTTCAACGTGTTTTTTCGCTATCTGCAACATTGCACGCAACAATTTCAACGTGTTTTTTCGCTATCTGCAACATTGCACGCAACAATTTCAACGTGTTTTTCGCTATCTGCAACATTGCACGCGACAATTTCAATGTGTTTTTTCACTATCTGCATCATTGCACGCAACAATTTCAACGTGTTTTTCGCTATCTGCAACATTGCACGCAACAATTTCAACGTGTTTTTCACTATCTCCAACATTGCACGCAACAATTTCAACGTGTTTTTCGCTATCTGCAACATTGCACGCAACAATTTCAACGTGTTTTTTCACTATCTGCAACATTGCACGCAGCAATTTCAACGTGTTTTTCACTATCTGCAACATTGCACGCAGCAATTTCAACGTGTTTTTTCGCTATCTGCAACATTGCACGCAACAATTTCAACGTGTTTTTCGCTATCTGCAACATTGCACGCAACAATTTCAACGTGTTTTTCGCTATCTGCAACATTGCACGCGACAATTTCAACGTGTTTTTTCACTATCTCCAACATTGCACGCAACAATTTCAACGTGTTTTCCACTATCTGCAACATTGCGCGCAACAATTTCAACGTGTTTTGTTTTCACTATCTGCAACATTGCACGCAAATGGTATGGTACAGTTATCAGCTATTTCCTGGTTTGTGGCTATCCGACGATCTGATTCTTGTTTTTCCCTCTCCTCTGAGAGCAAAGTACTAATCAGCTGTGGTTTATTATCCTTGGCTACTTGATCCAGTCGTCGCCATTTTGGTTACGTAATTGCAAACATCAGTCGTGCAATATTATAGCTTGTGTCCGGGCCTTTAATGTGTGGAACGCATGCGCAAGACACTTTAGACTCGATTTCCGCCGCTCTCTCGGAAGAGCGTGGGCTCATTTTTTTTTTAACAGCGGCTGGTAATTGAGCTTATGCCCCTCTCCACTCTAATCAATTATATCTTCACACTCTGTGGAGACTCTGTACTGACGCCGGTCCATAAATACCACATATTTCGCACGGACTAAGTTGTGTAACTATAGTTTGGCATTTTTTGTCTTTTCCAGGCGATCATGAACTATTTCTGGTTTAAGAAGAATCTACAGACTTCCATAACAATGCCACGAGTACACGACCAGCTCTTCCCTAACTATGTATTCGCAGAGACTAAGTTTCCAACGGAGGTAGTCAACGGTCTCATGGCCCTTGACATAAGGTTTGTATAATATAATAAAAATGCAGCCTGGGTATTAAACAGACGTCTGTCTTCGCGCGCTCAATTATTTCCCGGCTCGAAAGACATCTGGGATTCTACCTGCTACATACTGATGACGTAGCTCTACAGAAATCTGTGTCGTGTCTGATTGGGTGTTGGTCGCTTTTGAATTTTCGCGAGTAAATAACAACCAATCAGCGACACTAAACGGATCTCTGTAGAGCTACGTCATCAGTATGGAATTTTTCGGGTCGAAACTCGAGCGGGAGAAGAATTGCGCGCGTGAAGAGAGGCGAATATTTCCT